TAAAAACACATAAAACTCTGTTCACACACATTCATCAACTAAATCGCAAACGATTTTCTACAAACCGTCTCAAGAGCCTCCACCATAGAAGCAGAAAAGCCAGTCATGGCTTGGAACACGTTAGGCAAACCCGTCTGCATATTACTCAACGTCATAGCCCGAGTCACCTCCACCGCTTTCGAGTGGCTAACCATCTCATCCTCCACTCGTCTTCGAAATCCCGCCAGCTCAGCCTTTTTCTCCGCCAGCGGGTCCAAAACCGACCCATTGTAGTATTTTTTCTCGATGTCCGAAATAGCCAAGGCCTTCTTCTCGAGCTCCTTTCTCACGATTTCCACCCGTTTTCTCGATTTAATCTCCTCCGTCTGTTTTAGAGAGATCGACCGTACGACATTGTTGAGGCTCTGAATGGCTTCGGCCGCGACTGGGTCGGGAATTCGGTCGAGGGCGAGTTTCCACTCTTCGAGGAAGGCGAAAGTTCCGGAATATTCTTTATTTTGGGGGTCGTCGTTGTTGAGAGGGAGAAGGACGAGCTTGAGCCAGGCGTGTAAGGAGCGTATGAATTCGCGTTGAGATCTGATTAGACGGAGGAAGCTCGAGTGCCAGGTGGCGACGGCTGATTCGAGCTCACGGGTCGACTGGCGATGGGGTTCGGAGGTTGATTCGTCTGTTGAGGTTCGGTTCGTGAGGCCACGGACTTGCTGGACTATGTTGTGTTGGATTTCATGGGACCTGTTCATTGATCTCCACATGCACATGCAACTGCAAATATTTTTTTTTTGTTCATTTGAATGTAGAAATATTTAAAAGATAACTGGGTATAGGCTTGTAAACAAATTGAATTTTTTTGATGCGATTCGATATTCGAGATTCGAATTCGAATACGAATAATGTTTTATATTCGTAAGTTAAACGAATCCAAATTCGAATTTGTAGATATTCGATTCAAAATTCAAATATTCGATTCGTTAACGATAATTATATATAATTTATATAGTATACATTGTGTTTATAATATATATATTGTTATATTCCTAATATTTTTATGACATAAAAAGTAAAAACATCCTAAATTAATAATTTTCCTTAAAAACATGGAAAAACATAAAAATTATTTTCGTAATTATAATTTTTTTAATTATAATATTTTTCTGAAAACGAATTTCGGATCGAATCGAATATGTTCGAATATTCTAAACGAATCGAATACGAATCAAAAAATGAGTACGTTTACAAATCGGATACGAATTCGAATCCTCAAATATTTTAACAAATTCGATTCGAATATCTTAGTATTCGCTTTGATTTGATTCGTTTACAATCCTAACTGGGTATCTTTAGTAATTAGGCTAAACTTGGGGGTAATTTAAGCAGTGAATTTTGAGACTTACCCTTGACAAAGTTGGACAAGCTGAGGGACGAGGTCGGAGTCTCGTAGGCCGATGATAGCGAATGAGGTAGTTGAAACGGCTTGAGAAGTGACCATAATTAAGGATTGTAGCCTCTTTATTGATGCCTTTGTCTTGTCCAACTTGGCGCCATCTTCCCCGCGATAATCTTGGCTCTGAAGAACAGATAACTTCTTCTCATGCTCGATTTTAGCTCCTTCTCTAGCCTATGAATTGTTACAAGTGACAGCAAATGGTTACTAGTATCGATTAAGTAACTTTGGGAGAATATTGAAACGAAAGTTATCGTAAAATTTAGCACTGATTAGTTCTTAAGATCAAGTTTAATGTTTATCATAGTTAAAGATACCAATACTTTGGTCGACACTGGTTTTCGCTAACATATTCATGCTCTTGTTGTTCTAAATTAGAAACTTCTAAATGTTGGTGAAACAATGATGGATTTTCTAGAAATTCAAATTGATCGAACTCATTGGATCGTAAGTAGAGAAACGCACAACGAGGCACACAAACAAGTGATTGTTAGTTTTCTATTGATAAATAGTTCAGCTTTTGATTCTGCATAATTAATCAATTTCAATGGAGGATTGCTTTATGTTTATGGTCGGCTCCTGGTTTAATTCCTTCAAATAAAAGACTACGTAACTATAAGACTTAGGTGAATTTACCTACCAAGCACTCATCCCTTTTTACTAATCAAATTTTAGCTTCTATTTGCAGACTGTACCAACTTCTGATATTCAAATCCGTTAATCTTTTGCCACGATAAACCACTTGTAAGGAATCCTAATTTTTGTGCGAATAGAAACCAGGCAAATAGAATATAAATTCTAGATCAATATTTTTCACAGATCACAAAGGCCATGAACCAGGTACAGGTTTTGTTCTTTAATGTTTAAACCAGATAGATACCAGGCCTTTCAGCATAATAAAACGTTTATGCTTTATTCATGACAATAAGCAGATAAATAGCAAACAAGTATCATAATTACTCACATATTCAGATAAGATAAATAAAATTTAGTCCGCTGCAAGAACTGGTTAAGTAATTGCAAATATATCAGTACCTTCACTTCTTGATATAGTTTCTTTTCCCAAGCCAAGAGACAGTCCAAAGTCGAACAAAGGCTCTTGGGCCCACCAGATTGTTCGATAGAACCCGGATCCAATTGGTATTTAACTGCCAATGGAGGCTTTGAGGTCCAGCTCGAGCTCAAGTTACTAAACATTCCACTTGAATGATAGACTGTCTCTGTTAACCACCAAAATAAACTTACTTTCAAAAAGTTTAAATTTGCAGGGAAAGCGCTCGAAACTCAAACACTCTTTACAACTGAGTTATATTCCAAAATAACATATTAGGGTCGTGTCGTAATTATTCTTAACCGGAGGGGCAACATTCACAATTACTTCCTATCACCATACACATGCATCATGCACTTCTCTGAAAAATAAATAAAAAATTCATGAACAGAACAAACAAGAGGACTTACTTCTCAACTGCTTGAATCTCTGATCAAGCTGAGCCCGGCCCGCTTCAAGCATCTCGGAGACCTTCTCACCGGCCAATGCAGCCTCATTGAAATACTCTCCAATAGCCTCAGCGATCTCAGTCAAATTTCTGTGCTTCACTGCAATTTTCCCATCAGCAGACGATTTTGATTTTCCATCACCAACTTCTTCTTCTTCTGACGAGAGCTTCTCTGATTTGCTCGAGAATTCTGAATTCACTTTCAAAGCCTCATTTCCCGCCGATTCGAAATTTCGAAATTCCTCAACAGGTTCAGAATCCCCTTTTTCATCTTCACCGTCACTCGAGCAGCTCGTGCTTCTGCAATTTTCATTTTCATGATCTCCCCAATCGCTGCACTCTACTTCCTCTCTCTCTGTCCCGTCCTCTTCACCTTCCCAGCTTCTCCGATTTTGCCCTAACTTTTCTGATTTTTGTTTCGTGTGATTTTTCGAGTACGTGTTGTTGCTTTTATCTGAATAATTTGAGAACAATGAGTAATTGGATGCCCGATCGTCGAGTAGCTTCGACGGACTGTGGTGCTTGCGGATTGAAGCTCTCTCGTCGTTGTTGTGTTCATAGTTGTTTTGGAGTTTGTGGAAGTAGTCGGAGCCTGGTGGCGACGGCGGAGGTTGGAAATTATCCCAATCCCACACAGAGGAGGTTTCGGAATCTGAAGGTGTAGTCGAATAGGTTGAATTAGGTCTGGCGGTGTAAGTGAAATCGTGGTTGGGCGGTGGTGAAGAGGAGAAGCTCGAGTCTGATAGTATGTGGGGAAGTTTAACGGGCTTTCTCCACCGCGGCGGGTGGGAGGAGGCGGTGGCAGTGGGGAAGGGAGGAGAGTGGACGGAGGGTGAAGGGGGTTTGGTGTTTGTGCGGAGGAGGACGGCGGGGGTGTCGTCGGAGATGGGAAGGGGCTCGCCGGCGGCGAATGAGACGAGGGCGGAGGCGGTGAGGCGGAGGGAGCGGCAGTAGTCGGAGTGGGCGGCGGCGAGGTGGTGGCGGGCGAGGACGGCTTCCTTGGTGAGGCGGCGCCGCTCCCTGCACCGCCGGACAGTGTCCTCGTTGTCTAGCTTGGATACCGTGCAGCCCATTTAGTCGGATTTATTATCTTCTTTCCCTGTCTCTCTGGTTGAAAGTGGGACCTGAGGCGACCAAGAGAGTATGAGAGAGAAGGTGGTGGCGGCGGCGGAGAGGCCGGTGGTCTTACTTGCACTTCATTGTTTAAGCTTGTTGTTATGATGAAATGAAATTATAATAAATATACGATTCCATGAAACACTTTGTACATCTTTATTAGTATGAGATTATTGTTTTTTCACGTGTTATTGACATGTTACACTAAAATTCTACGTGTCATTCATATATTCAAATACTATTTCACAGTATATTAAATTCACTATGTGTCATTCATATACTCAAATACAATTTCAACTACAGTAATATAATAATTCACTATGTGTCATTCATATACTCAAATAAATACAATTTCAACTACAGTATATTATATTACTTTATAAGTCCATCAAATTTATCTACGATTCGCATCTCCAATTAATTTATAAACATTATCATAGCTAGAATTCATATTTATATATTTATTTTTTATGAATATAAATATACAAATACCAATTAACTAGGAAAAATTTACTTTATTTGATAATTTATGAAAAAAAATATTAGGCCTTTTTATTCACAGACATGATATCCACAAATTCGCACAATTAAAATTCCAATATCTATATCTTCAATTTTTTTTTTAAAAAAAATAATTAAAATTCCAACATATGAGTCTTCAATATTTTTTAAACGTCTAAATGTTATAATTGTTTGATAGTGAAATTAGATATGAAAATATTTTAAAAATATCTACATTGAATAACACAAAAACATTCTTCATTCTTCATAATAAATCAAATAAAATCATGGTTGTAGAAACTTTTTGTTAATTTTGTACATACAAATTATATCTAATAATAGTGAAATTGGATAGGAAATATTTTAAAAATATCCACAATGAATAACACACAAATATTTTTCATTCATAATAAATCAATAAAAGCATGGTTGTAGAATTTTTTTTGTTTCATTTTCTAAGTTTGAACAATCCAAAACATATGACCAGGATTAAACTAATCTATTAAATTAATCCATTATATATGGATAGATAAATATAAATTGATAGTTATAATTCATAATTAAAAATAAAACACTTTACACAGAATTGTTTTCCTCCATAAAATAAAAAAAAATATAATTATCAAATAAAAGATTAATATTTAATAGTTGATAAATAATAAAAATTAATAATCATATTTTTAATGCTAGAATTATTAATTTCTGTGGAGTTGAAGGTCAGGGCCGGATCTTGGGCCAGTTGCCCCCACTCCATAGGCTGAAGGACACAGATACGTGTTATAGTCAAAGCACTCCCACTTTAATGAGACCGAAATTTTGTTCACATATTTCAAGCCAATAGAAAACATCTTCTACCAAAACACGAACTCTTTCAAAAAAAACTTTTTCAAATGTATATACATCTTAAAGGAGTTCCATCTCGATGAGACTACGACCATATATATTTTCTATTTTAAATTTCACTTNTCCCATGAGACTACGACCATATATATTTTCTATTTTAAATCTGTCTTCTTTTTTATGTTGTAAACTCTTTTATTTTATTTTTAATTTATCTAATTTATTACATTATCAGTTAATTTATTAAAAATTAATTTGAAACTTTTTGTTTATCTTATGTATATTATCTATTTTTATGAATAAATATATTTTATATTTTAAATCTATCATCTATCTATACTTATATAATAAGAATTAACATTTATCCAAAATAGTAGGTCAAATTATGGTCAATGTCGGATTTGCATTAAATATTTTCCAAAATCGGTAAGTTTTTGTCTTTTTCACACTTCTCATTAATTATGTCCTTTTCACACTTCTCATTAATTATGTTCTTTTCACACATATAATTTAATTCATTAATTACGACATAATTATCATAAATCATTCCATCTGAGCTTTTATCGTTAAAATGTATAGCGATCTGTTATGACCTTATCCCATTATTCCCATTGATATTTCCATGACGCGTTCTTATCGCGTTCTATTTTTTGGTAACCATTCTATATTAATAACCGGATATTTGGTTAATGATAGCACACGTCTTTATTTCAAGGAGCGGATATTCTTTGACCTTTAATTAATCTGAACTGATTGCCTTGACTTTTCAATTTTTAAAAACTCTTTTTTTAAATATTTCGGCTTAAGATTCGGATTTTATTATACAAGTCATCGGATTGTTTGAATGAAAATGAATGAAAAGAACACCAAAAACAGGTAGCCTTATTCATATAACCAATCCTAAAATATTATTAGTTTGTTCACCAAAAAGCAATGTTCTAAAAGTCGCTAGGCGCCCGCTAGGCGCTCGACCAGCGCCTAGCGCCTAGAGCGCCTAGTCGGGGCCCAGAAATCAATATTAAATACCTTATTTTTTTATTTATTTTAACTACCTACAAAATAAAACTGTCTCAACTTATAATAAATTCACACACCAAATTCCAAATAATAATATCAATGTATATTAAAGAAAACATGAGAATAAAATAATATAATTAGTATTTAAAAAAACAAAAAAAAAATAAAAAAAAAACTAAAAAATTGCTGCCGAGCCCGCCTAGGAGCGCATAGGTCCGCTTACGCCCGCCTAGATGCCGCCTAACCGCCTGGCCGCCGAGCCCGCTAAGCCCGCCTAGGAGCGCCTAGGGCCGCCTAGCCGCCTGGCCGATTTTTTCTGCCGATTTGTACAAATCGGAGGCGCTCGGGCACCGCCTAGCGCCTAGGCGCCGCCTAGGCGGCCGCCTAGGCCGACTTTTAGTACAGTGCCAAAAAGAGACAAATCTTAAAAATCCTAAAATAATAGTTTGTTCACCAAAAATATTAGTTTGATTTTTAGGATTTGTCTCTTTTGAAAATATTAGTTTGTCATCATGTTGTGTACAAGGAGGTTTTTAATAATGTATGATTGTTACCGAACTTTTTATGATTCAACAATATTCCTATGTATTTTAATGATTTCAATTTCGATCCTAATGCACGTGAGGTTATATTATTCTTCCAAATTTTACATCCCGTGCATCGCACGGGTTACGTACTAGTTTTTTTATAAACTTTTTTAGTTTATTTTTAATTTATATTAAGTTTATTACGTTATCTCTATTTTTAAGTTTATCTATTTCTTTTACCATATATTAAGTTTATCTTAAGTTTATTATCTATTTTTTTACTATATCTTAAGTTTATCTTTAGTTTATTATCTATTTTTTTTTACTATATCTTAAGTTTATCTTTAATTTATCTTAAGTTTATTATCTATTTTTTTAATTATATCACGAAAAACAAATTCAAAAACCAATCATATGAAAAATAAGATTTAATATAAATACAAAAAAAAAAAAAAAAAAAAACCATCAGTAAACATCTTCAAAATAAAAATATATTACATACCAATATACAAAGTTACAAAACCCGTAATAACTCATAGAAACTCTTTTTTCATCAACATTCCAAGTACTAATCTTCACAGAAGCCGCCGGAATATTTCTCTGCCTCGGCTCGCTGGAATTCCACCATCAAATTTTCAGATATTCACCAACTGATAGATCTAAAAGATCCACCAAATAAATCTCCACAACAAAAAAGGGAAATTAAAATTTACTAAACCCTAAATTAATAAACCACACATTAAGATTCAAATTTAGTAAATCAGACCTTTCGGACTACCATCCCCCACGCCCCCGGTGAGTTACATGCTGAGCCTCAAGGGTCGGATGGCGCTGATGGCTGGAGAAGGAGAAGATCTCAATCGAGGGTGACATTGCCGACGGTTCCAATGGCTCTGAGGATGCGGAACCCCACCCCCCCGGCGGTGCGTGGCGAAGGCGCAGGAGATGATGATGGCCGCCGTCGGGTTTTTCTTTCGACTTTCGAGAACAAAAGAAGAGGAATAATGAGAGGCGTTCTGATTTGTTACCTTTTTATTGATTTAATTAAGAAATCAATTTAAATGCTAAAACAATTGATCTCGTATTAGTGGATAAAAGTATTTAGACTCGTGAAGTGGAATATAATAAGATTTGGAATCGTGTAGGAGGTAATTTTCTCCACTCCATAGGGGCCTCTTTTTATATATTATTGTTTAAAGTATTAATATAAATTTTATGATATTGTTTAATTTTGTCATTTATATCTATGAAAAATAAAGAACACAAATTAACTCAACTTAAAATTTTCTCAAATAAATAAATTTAGCCATTTTTTAATTTTTATTTTATTATCAATATCAATTATATTTAAAATTGAAATTGCTCAAGTGACTGCAACTAATAACAAAGCATATTTGTTTTCCGATTTTCTTCTTTTTATTTTGGGATACATCATAGATAATTTATTGTTCTCTAGTTTGTGAGTTCTTGTTATTTAAAAAATTATAAAAAAACATATTTTTAAATATGATTTTATTAATTCTTTGTATATGTGATGATACTTTGTATATTTAATTCTAACTATGTCAAAGATTATCTAATTATTAAAAAAATTATAAATTTCTATATACAAATACAAATACAAATAAAAATAAAAAATTTTGTCTAGGGCCTTCAAATTTCTAGAGACGGCCCTGTTGAAGGTCACAACATTTCTGTGGAGTTGAAGGTCACAGCATGTCCCTAACTGCCTTTGATCCTTATGTTAGTTGGTTTAGTGTGTATTATGTTCTAGGCTGCTTGTTGCAGCAGTTCTCTTAGGTCCTGCTGTCTCCGGGTTTCACGTTGAACTTTTGATTCGTTTTGGTTATGAGTAATTCTATCATTTGATAAAAAAAAAGTAGAAAAAAAATTAGTAAAATCTTTATAAGAAAGATGTGCTTAAGTCGGGTTTAACAAAGGATGGAGCGCCAATATAAAAATAACAGAGTCGTTCTTTTGATAGGAGTAATTGGATGACAATTGTTTTCTTAATAAGTTAAAAATATATTATTATATACATTTAGTATTTCATGATATAGTTTTTCTATAAATTAATTCCTTAGAATCAACAAATATAAATTTGTAATGTAGAACTTACAAAAATTGTTATTTTATCTGATTGATGCAAGTTTTATTGTGAATATAAACATTGGGGGAATTTTTTATTTAAAAAAATAAAAAAATAAGTGGACAAAAATAAAAAGAAAAAAAAGTGT